ATGAAGTTATGAGGAGGCAGCCTTCATAAGAATATCGCACTAACTGGGTTTTTAATTCCTAGGTCATCAGGGTTGCCAGGAAAACTATTAACTGGAGAACCAGAAAAGCTAGAGAGCTGAAGTTTTATGACAATGTTCCCTGGCCAAGTTAAACTTAAATATTTCAGTTTTAGCCTCCAGGTATGCATGATTCTCACGTGCAGGCACTTGAAAGCTTTGGCGGGAAAATTGCTTATTGAATAATTAAATTATTTTCAAAGGAAACTGTTCACTTTCTTTATGCAAAATTTATCAACTACTATAAGTTGACTCGGCTTGATCGTTACTCTACCATCTAAGCTAACACTATTTCACAGCAGCGCTCGCCAATGCCGTTTGGCACTTTGCCAGGAGCACTGGGTAGCGTCTTCCACCGTACTGTGGCTGAAACGCATGGTTGATGGGGAAGGGCTGTTCACTCTCAGCGATCTCTCATAAAGAAAACTGGATTAAAGGAAACCTAAACTTGTGAAAGGAAAAAAGAGTAGTGGGCCTCCTTATTTCTGAAGTTGGTGTTTAGATGAAGCTGATAACTGTCAGTTTTACCTACGCAGCTTTACCTTATTTAGTGTTAGCTCTGCATAGGAAACCTTATACCTAAAACAAGTATCGATTTGCACTTGCGCCACGATTTAGGGCACTTCAAAGATATTTGTGGCGAAGTCGATATTTCGCTTACCGAACAAGATGCGAGGCTGAAACTTCGCTGGGATATTCTACTTTCAAGTCGGTCTTAATTCTGCTTGGAATTGAAATTTCCCGCAGGAGGGCACGAAAAATACTCAGCTTCACCAGAAAATCAGAATGTCCTGTTCACTCTTTATCGACAGTAGTAGCTGCAGCTGCTCTCTGCAACAACCTTACTGACGATGTGGCATAGCTGCGGATGTATCCTTTGGATTATCGGCTCGAGAGTGTCGAAGCACTCGCGATTACCTTCCTTGGATTATCAAGCCCGATGTTGCTCCGAATGTCTGCTTTTGGCCCTATTGCATGCATTTCGACGTCTCGACGGCTTACACCCTGAACGCGTGTTTAAGGAACCTATTTGCGCTTGGTGTGTCATGATGAACCATTAATTCAGTTTGCTGCTTTAGCTGCCTAAGTACCGACATCAGCATTCCATTCGTTCTCCCATATTGCAATTCAACTTGTAATTCTGGGTAAGCGATAGAAACTGTTTATGAATTTTCATTCATTCTCCGCAGTGTGTGTATTGTGCGTCTATCCGGGTATTTCAACTCGTCAACTAG